GGGAGCCCGATGCAGGACTCGATCCAGGGACTCCAGGATCATGACCTGAGCCGAAGGCAGTCGCTTAACCAACTGAGCCACCCAGGCGCCCCTCAGTGGATGTTTTAAATAGCTTCTAGTTTTTCATTAATTCAAATAGTGATGCAATCAACTTTTTGCATAAAATTTCCTGTAGAGTCCTATAAATGGAATTACTGGATTATTTTTAAGGCACTTCAAATATATGGGCCTGTCCATTTTTAGAAAAGTTATACTGACTTGTTGAACTATTAGCTCATTTCATTTCTAGGAACCCTATATACATTTCCTTAAAATAGATCTGCTTATTCTAATGTGATACTAATCTTTTTTTGTAATTTTTTTTAAAGATTTTATTTTTTTTGAAGTAATCTCTACACCCAACGTGGAGCTCGATCTCAACCCCAAGATTAAGAGTCGAATGCTCTACCGACTGAGCCAGCCAACTGCCCTAATTATAATTTTTGAGAATATTAAATCAATAACTGGTTAGACTGTCATATATACTCATATTTTTAGCAAAAAAGAAATTTTAGGTTTTGTAGTATAAAGATTGAGTCATTTGTATTCTTAGGAAAATAAAATGACTGCAGATATGTAGTTAGAGAAAATATTCCTATGTTAAGGACAGCTCCAAAAGCCTATCTTCAAAACATTAATTCTGATCTTCTAACAAGATTATATGAAGGTTAGATTATGAACTACTTGAGGTCAGGATTTTTGTCCTAATCAAACTTATATCCCTAACATCTAGCATAGAATTTGGCACAATCCACTTTAACGGATTAACGAATGGTTTGTACTACCTTGATTTCTGTTGTGATTATTGAAAGACATAGTGTAAGCAGGTCTTGTTTCAACAACTTATATTTTTGCTTCCTGAGGTATGTTTTGTCAATTGAGAGTGCTGAAGAGATACGAGAATATGTTACTGACCTCCTTCAGGGAAATGAGGACAAAAAAGGTCAATTCATAGAGGAGCTTATAATGAAATGGCAAAAGAATGATCAGGAGTTGAGTTCTGATGCTCTGCAACAGTCCTTCAAAAAAGATGGTAAGTTAACATAATTGAGGGTTGAAATATTGGTAAATGGGCTGGTTTATAGGACCTGATATTTTCTGTCACTGCTATTTCCTCACAGCTAACTTAAGCAGAATCAAATGTATACACATTTTTATCTCAGTTCTACTCAAACTGTAAAGAATATTGTTTTAGTTCAGACTTTTCTGAACTTTGAAAATACCACAAAATGCTTGTTTGCAGATACAAATGTGGTTTCAGAATAGTTTGAAAAATTTATCCATGGATTAAAAAAAACACTTTTCAGTTATATATATACCTGGATGAAAGTAAATGTTGACCAATTCTAGTATGAATAGCATTTAGAAGTAACTATTTAGTTAAAAGATACAAAAGATAAACACCAAGCTAAATAACCTAAGTCATTATTATTATACAATCTAAAATATTAGATTTTAATTTACCATTTTAATCGTAGCCAGTAGTCTTTATCATCTACTATCTTGAAAATTATGGCTTAAATATAATTCTGGTTTGAGAGAAAAAGCTAATGTAAAAAGCTGCCTGACTTCATATCTTCACTCTAAATATTAAGCGTCATCTTCTCTTTATTAGCTATTAGTTCACCAATGAATCCTGCTATTATTAATCTATGTACATATATATGTATATAATTTTTTTTTCTTTTAAAGAAATGTTAGATGGGCAGAGATCAGGAGACCAGCTAAAGAGGAGTAGGCGGAAAGGAAGAAATAGACAGGAAGTTCCTGCATTTACTGAACCTGACACAACTAGGGAGGTCAAAACACCTTTTGATTTGGCCAAGGTGAGTGCTTATAGAATGAGTCTTTTTCTAGTTCTACGAAAAAGGGGAGGTGACTGATACATTTCAGAGAGCAAAGTGTACAAATTGGTCTAGAGTGGCAATTTTTCAACAAATGCATGAATTTTATGGAGAGAAAGTGATGATGATGATATATTACTTTCTATATGGTAGATTTTTTTGGCAGACTGATTAAATAGTTATTATAAGGACATCTTGGTTAGAAATGAGATTGAGAAAGAGATATATATAATTGGAAAATATTTATTTATAATTTTTTAAAGATTTCATTTATTTATTTGAGAGAGATAGCACAAGCAGCGGAGAGGGGCAGAGGGAGAGGGACAAGCAGACTCCCCGCTGAGCAAGGAGCCCGATGTGGGGCTTGATCCCAGGACCTGGAGATCATGACCTGAGCTGACCTCAGCAGATGCCTAACTGATTGAGCCACCCAGGTGCCCCTAAATGGAAAATATTTAATGAAAGTCACCAGGACTTCAACTTCAGTATTTTCTGTATGTGTGTGTGGATTTTTACTAAAAGAATGCACAATTCTATCTGTTATTAGGAGTGTTCCTACTTGGGCCATCTACTACTGCCACTGCCATCATTATCATTTAGTTTTTAGAGTTTTTTCGTATTTTTTCATGGTTCTCAAAATAGCCCTGTGAAGTCAGCAGAAATATTTATAATCAAGGAAATTTGACAAACTAAATTTCCCAATAGAAGGGAATAGTTAATTATGCTAAGATGGAAGAGAGGTGACCAAAAAACTCTGAGTGTGATGACCATGCAAAAAAAAAATGTGGAGGGCGCCTGGGTGGCTCAGTCATT